CGTGGTTGTTTGGGGAGGTCCCGCTCTGGTGAAGCATAAGGCTGGCTGAGGGCCGAGGACTCTTAAATCCTGGAGCCAACTCACTGTACCAAACCATGTGCTGCCATGTCATGGGGTTGATTTCAGTTTATTTAGTTTTGCTTTGTATTTAGTAGTAGTTGCCATCCCTTTATGGTTACCCCTTGAGTATTATTTGGTTTGGCCAAGCCACTATATATGCTCCCCCGTGCGTCATTTCGACAGGTCATTTAACACCTTGTTTAATTATTGTATGTAGTGTAGTTATGTTATGTTGAGCTCTTTTATAAGCCTAGTAATTCATTTCTTGGTTTCTAATTTTTTGTGCATTTTTTTTTAGTAAATAAAAACCAACAATTTTGTCAACAACACCCGTTTTCTTGTTGCCTCACTGCTTGGTCCCTAACAGACAAAATAATCCTTAACTACATATAACGTCTTCATCATGGATGGAGTTTGCTTTTCAGGGCACACACACACACACACACACACACACACACACACACACACACACCTATACTACAGTTTGACAAAATAATGTTGTCTTAAGGTCTCCTTGTTATCTTTTTCCCCCGAGCTTTCAACCACATCTCATTGTTTTCATCAGTGGATAGAATTGGTCAGAGAGCAAACTTACTCTTCTGATGATCAGACAAATAGCTTGAGAAATAAAGCCTTGCTAACTTGTTTGGTTCAGTCAAATTAAATCAGGTCTGTTTGCGTGGCTAGTATGGTTTGTTTGGGCTGGTAAGAACGCTATCAAACAAACCTTGGTGTGGACCAAACAACCGAACTGAGACCACTCGACAAGGTGGGTCTTGATCCACTTCCAAATGGACTCTTTTGCAGTTCATTTGTGGTGTGACAGAAAACCACCCAACAACACGATTTTATGGTAGCAGACGTGATTTTAACATGATTTCAACAGCTAAACCAATAATAAACCCATCTGCTGATCATGAAATCTGTCCACGGTCTCCTATCTCCTCTCACCTATTTATGTTAATGCATACATGTAACCATGGTAACACGTGTGCACATTAGTGAGGGTATTTTCCTTGACTACAAAGCTGTCAAAACTGCCATCATTGTATCTGACTCTGTGTACTTTGTCTGTTCATTAAGTCTGTTTAAAGTGTGTGACAGTAATCCCATAGTAATAAGCTCTGAATCATTACTGTACAAGACGCCTTCTTTTCATCCTGTCTCTGTTAGTCGTTATTCATGTGATTGATCTGCAGTCTAATAATAGCCCGCTAATAGTGCTTACAGTCAGATATGACTCTATGACCTCTTTATGACACCAAAGAACATCAATATAAACACTTTAGAAGCATTGAAGTGCTGCTGCGTAAACGTCTGTCAGTCACCAGAATTTGATTTCCCCACGTGGGTCCTGTTAATGCAGGATGACGAACACCAAAGCTGTCCAGTCAACAAGTTATTGTCAGTTGGTAGAACTTCATGTTTACTCCTTTTAGTTTGTTTGCAAAAGTCAGTGTGAACAGGAACCAAACCAGGACGAAAATACAACAGTGTGCACCCTGAGTCAAGTTAATGATCGTCAAACTGTACTGTACTTTTATATTTGCTATATTTGACTTTAGACTTTAGACAGCACACACACACACACACACACACACACACACACACACGGACAGTGTCTGGGGTTGGGACTGGTTAAAAATGAGAGGAATCCGAACTGTTGAGAGCTTTGAAATTAGAAAATGAAAAGGAGTCAAGAGGGAACATTCCACAGCAGTGCCCTGGTCACCTGATCTCTTATGAGGTCAAGGGTCAACTAATGAAATTTACCACCAGCCTCTCAGAGGTTTAAAGAGGACCGGCTTTTACGGTTTACAGCGATGAAATGTAGCCTGACAATATAACTGGCGATAATTTTAGCAACTCTGCGGCTGCTTTGAGGTTACAGGAAGGTGCTGAGTAAATGTTCCTTCACACAAATTGCTGTTGTTATTTTCTTTTTAACTAGATGCAAATGGTCTTTTCTGATGGACAAGAAAAAAATTAGAAACCTGTCTGAACAATCATTTTCTCAGAGGCAACCACCTGTTTCTTCTCCTGCAGAAAATGAGATGTTGTGTGTTTGTGTATCTCTCCGTCTGCAGCCAGGATCTTGGATGACTGTGTGTGAAATGTGAAGGGTGCCCCCATGTTGGGAGATTTAGGCAGCAGGACCCTCGCTCCACCCCACCCCACCTAACACCCTCCCCAGCAGGAGCAGCTAAGAGGCCAGCCAGAACAATGCCAAGGCAATGGCTTAATTCGCCAGGCCAGATTTACAGCCCCTCCTGCTCAGCACCTGCTCACATTGTTTCCCAGGATTTGGCTCCAAAACTTTGAAGAACTGGTGATAAAAATTGGACTGCAGGCAATCCACCACATACGGACACCCCGCTTAGTTAAAGATTTCTTGTTATTATTGGGAAAATCTCCTGAACTCAAATGAAGAAATCAACTGAGGAAGATTTGACATCATGAAACCCCTCTTTAATGTCCAAAACATTATGAAGTGTGAGTGCTCAGCAGCAGAAGTTGACCTGCGAACATTTCTGCATATGTCTGTGGGACTTCAAATGCCGTGAGTGTTTATGTTACATGCAAACTTGCTCGATTGCACAACATTCTTTGCATCATCCATTACAATAATAACTAACTAGCTAGGGTGAAAACATTGTCTGCAAGTGTGTGTGTGTGTGTGTTTGTGTGTGTGTTGATTTGCAGAAGGCACATTCCTGAGCCGGCCTGGGAGAAAGTGAGAGGCTCCGCAGAGGAGAGAGGGACTGCAAAACAGAATTCCCAGAGAGGTTTGAGGAGGGGACGACTGGAGAGCGGAGGCCCCTTTTGTCACCCGGGCCTTGTTGGTGCCTCAGGGGCCATATGGACGCCTGCCTCTGTGCACCCTCACATCAGCCCATTCTTCACCCTCCTCCACCCCCTCTGCTCCGTGACAGGACCGTCCACGTGAATGAGTCATGGCCAGAGTGAAGTCGACCCCAGCTCACTTCTGTTCCATCTCCTGCCATCTTTTTCTCCTCTCTCACTCTCTGCTTCCCCCTCTCACCCAACATTCAACCGTTTGTTTTGCTGCTGTTCATCCGTTCTCTCAGTCCTCTCCCTTCTCTCTCTCTTTCCTTTTGAGGCATCTTAGACTCAGTGTGAAAACCTGGCAATAGGCAGCTGCCCTATATTATGCAGTGACCCCCCTCCCTCTGTCCCTCCAGCCTCTTGTCTGGCAGGATACCGGCTGTCAGTGGTGACTATAGGTTTGCTGGGCTGCTCTTGACCTGAGGTGGACCCGGCACTCTGAGGCGTCCTTATTTTATCCCCATGAAGGAGCGAAACTAATGGAGTCCAGAGAGCTAGAGAAGTACTCGTTGCAACACACTGCAAGAGAAACAGCATTGTCATAAATGTTATGAAGAATATGACACAAGTAAAAGTTTCACTTTCCAAATATTTCCTTTGTGGTGACAGAGTGTTACTGAAATTAATGACAACACACTGTCTTAGCTGCAAAGCTACTTGTCGGTGTGAACAGTATTCCACTGTTCCTTTGTTCCTGTTGACAAAGCTTCAAGGCCACTCACTCAGATGCAGCCCCCTGCAATCTCAAAACAGCTGAGTCTCACAAGTGATTGGACAGTGGCTAATCAACACTATATGGCAATTGGCAGGTGATGCTACTGACTCTAAAACAAAGTAAAAATAATTAAATAGGAATCCTCTCATTACAACGTCTGGATTCACATTAGAATATTGCCAATATAGCATCCTAGCTCCAACCTACAGGTGATGTGTAACCACTGTTCAAATCATAAGGTTACAGCAGCATTACGTGATTCTTTTGTTTGGACATTTACAGGCAGCAGAACAAGTTGTACACCCAACATTGACATACAGTATCATCACCTTGAACATGTTAGCAACATTATCATTAAGTTGGAGTCATGATTGTAGCCACCCTGCCAAATGACTTGTTTCACTACTGGGATTTGATCCATTTGGTCTGACACAAATTATCATTCATATTAGCAGAGGGATAGACTAGAAGTTAGCTGCTCGACTGCCATAAGTCTCTTGCGCGCTGCGCATGATATGTGCCATTTCATGTGTGATGAGTGGAGTCTTGCAATACACACTGTTTGGGGGGGAGAAGGGGGGTCGTCAGGGGTTGGCTGCAGTCAGCGAGACGTCACAGCTATGCACTTGAGGACGGGCAGCTGTCTTTTAGACCAACTCCTGAGAAGGTCCATCTTTGGTGCAACTTGGTGTGGCACAACGCGTCTAAACTGACAATGGAAACAAAAATCGGCGCGGCATTGACTTTATATTCGGGCAGCCGAGAGTGACAATGGAAAAAGGGAATAACTGTCAACAGTCAAGTTGTGGGCAGTTAAAACCAAAAGAATAAGCTGAAAGACTTTGTCCCTCACTACAATTGAGCCCCCTCACATTGCACACAGTCATTTTGCCAACTGCAGCTTTAAGAATATGGTCTAGTCATGTTTTTTTCTAAAATCTGAATAATTTAGAGAACGTTGTACATACTATCAATTTCCTCGCCTTGCCCTCCAAATTTAGTCAGGCCTACATCAACTCACTTCAACTATTTGATGATGGGAGACAGCTTTTTTATCGATGGTCTCAAATCTGTGATTTTTAAATTCCCTCTTACTAAAACATTTATTTACCAACAGCACTCAAACGAGTCATACAAAATTGATTTTATACTAGAGGAGCTTTTAACAACAGATAAATATCATGAAATTAAAGAGCCGTAAAAAGACTTTCTGTCAAGGTCAGATTCTTGAGTTATTCCAGACAGTATCCTCAGGGAGCGGTGGTGAGGAGGGGGCAAATGGATGGCATTACCCAGTAACTAGATCTCAGATGGGTGGAAAAAAAAAAAAAAAAATCTGTGTTTGACCCTGAAGCACCAACCCAAAAGCAGTTTGAATGTCAATGGCAGAATCAATTTCTGTTTATTGTTCTCACAGTTTAATAAAAATAATACATTAATACATTAGACGTTATGACAAGTATTGTGAAAACAGCAACAAAATTACTAATATGGGAATATTAAACAAAAATGTCAAAAGAGTGTGTTTTCTTCAAAATAACATTAGATGAGGCAATCAAATTAAAATGGAAATAAATAAAATGATAAAACCTGTTTTACATCAAATACAAAATGTGCAGATGTGTGTGTGATATCAGGTATCTTGTGTGTCAGCAGTAGCTTGCCACAGGCCCATGCCCTTCAGGATGCTTTCCTCTAGCATCTGGCAATCATTGTACTTCTTCATGTTCACCTTATCAATCTCCTCCAGAGATCTGATTGGCTTGTCAGCTTCCTGGAGACAAACATCAAAGAGGAGTTAGTCATCAACATGTAGCAAACTACAGGGAACTTTAAAACTTCTCCTTATCAAAAATCTATTTTCTCTCTCTGTAATCAATTTTAAATTTCATTTCTAATCACTACCAGGTGTCTTGTCCTTGATGAGAAAGTCTGGAAGTGAACATAACAGCATATATGTGAGACTGTGGCTGATTGTGGGAGCAACAAAAAGAACATCCACAAATACAAACAGACACGAGACAAAATAAAACTTCATCTGCTTTCATACCTGCCATCCAGATTCACATTTAGCCACCGAAAGATTTAGCTTCTATACTTAGCGGACTGCCAGCCACTGGCTGCCAATAACTACACTCTCCCCTATGCCCTGGATCAAATAACGATCTGACTGAATTAAACATGAGGGGACAGAGAGGGAAAGAGAAGAAGAGAGACTACAACAGAGGAGACAGATAAAGAGAGAGGGAAGGCCTACTCCTGCTTTTCCAGGGTCAAGTTGCTGTACACACTTTTAACTGGGCCAAAAAAAACAAAAACTAAAAAATCATTTGTAGGTCTCACTGTATAGTCAGAGGACTTTGCAAAAACCAGTGTCTGTCAGTGTGGTTAGTCTAGCTGAGGACACAAGGTCTCATTCAAGGCCACTTTGACAGTAAATACTGATGGTAGAGCACAGGGTCGTGCATTCTTTTTACAGTCAGACTCCACAGCTCACCGTCCACTTCTTGGGTTCTCCAGCTTCCTTCTTCTGTTTTGCCGACAGTTCCTCCTTCTCCAAAAAGTGCTTCAATCTGTCCTCCTCCAGCTCAAAGTATTTCTTCATATTCAGAGTCTGCAAACAGGCAAGAGAGAAAGACACTTGTCAGCAGGCAGCCATTAAATCAACTCTTGACTGATAACACAGTAACCCATAATGATAGTTTCTCTCACAACACTTTAAGTCTGGTGATCATTAAACCAGAATGTGTGTTACTAGAATCCCTTATAAACTTAATATCAATTCAGTGAAGCAGCAGTGTCCACATGCTGCAGCACTGCATTAGTTACTTCTGTTTTTCAACCTTGACCAAGGGTACATTATTTCTTTTTTGCAAAACAATGAGTAAACAACATTCTTTAAAGTGAGAACAGAGGAGACAGTTGAGACTGTCTTACCTCGCTCCTGGAGGGAATGTAAAGTGACTTCAGGATTTCCAAAACACGAACCATTCCAAGGTCATCAGTCACAGCCAGGAAGTGCTGCTTGGCTGTATGTCCAATAAAAAAATCCAGTAAATGAGCTTTATTGCTCAAATAATCGTACAAGAAGAACCTTATCACCAAGGCTGTGAAAATATAAATAAAACAAAAGGAGAGAAGCAGGCACAGTCTATGGGCTCTAGTTTCGCAGACCAGGCGCGGCGGGGGCGCAGCGCACCTGCGCTTCGCCAACTGGGTGTGGCCAGGCACATCGTGCGCCCTGGCGCAGCTACTCGTCTGTCCCACCTCCGTCCCTCCTACCTGCGCAAGTCGGAAAGAGGGAGGAGAGAAGGCGTGGAGTGGGTTTTACACACATCACACCAATCAAATGAGCCCCTCTCCTCGCCCTTAAATGCGCCGCGCAAAGGTGTAATGAGAGTTTACTCAATTCGCAATTGCAGAGGAGAGCAGCAGCGTCAGACAGCCAAACTTCTCCCAGGAGGAAACTGATGTTTTGGTCCGGGAGGTCCCAGCTCGCAGTGTCCGAATATACGGAACTGCGAGCAGACCTCCACGGGCTGATGATGCAAAGGTAGCCTGGGAGGAGGTCACCACAATTGTAAATCAATGTTGCGTTTCTCTCGTGCGCGCGCGCGTTCTCTCTTTCTCTCTCGCAGTCTCACTCTGTTTCTTTTCTTTTGACTTTTCTAAGATGACAGATTCTGAATATATACTCCCTATCTGATGCTGTGGCTGTTTGTGGTTGGCTGAGAGGGATGTGTTAATCAAATCAGGTTGGGTTTCCATTACGCGTGCCAAACGTGCCAAGCGGTGCCAATCCCCTTTGATCTGACATCAGATGTGACGGGACAGTCGATACAGAGATACATTTATGTGCTGATTGCAGATAGTTGCATTGAATAGTGGTTTTGTGGCTATTTATTGCATCGTTAATGTGCCTGATATTCTGGAAACCTGCCTGTGAGGTTTTGGTGACGTGTGCGCACTGTCCGCCAGTCAGTCAAACTTCGACTTACACCGGCTGCACTCCCTCTGCGCTGACAGTAGACCTGGTTTCAGATGGCGAGCTTTTAGCGCACCTTCGGCGAAGCCTTTTGGCACGAAACTGTCACCGCGCCAAACTGGATCTGTCGACATCTCCCCCTGTTGCGCCGCCACACCCATCTCAGTGCACCTCGGTCTGCCAAACTAACAAACTGAGCGCGCCTCGGGTTGCGCTGCTCGAAACTAGCTCTGCGTGGGGTTTGCCGCCCTGCGCCACCTGCGCTGCGCCGGGAAACTAGAGCCCCATATGTGAACATATGCAGCAGAAAGAGTTTCCAGGTGAGCAGCAGAGAATGTGTTTTATGGCCACTGTTTATTTAATTTAATTTTTCATTGCATTCATGCTTTAAAATGTTTTACTCCCTATTTAATTGTCTTTTATTTACTGTGTTGTTATTCTTTGTGTCTATTGTATCTGTTTTATTGGCTCAATTACTACATCTTCATCATTTTTATTTAAATTTGGTTTACTTTTTTCATTTTCTCTGTTATTACCAGCTTGTCAGTAACCTCCAAAGCACGTGAAAGTGGCTATTCAAATGAAGTTTGATTGTTATATAGTGTGCCAACAAGTGAATACCTTCTTAATGGAGCCACACGTGTGTTGTGCATCAGATAGGTGGAGAACTTACGGGAGGCAGTCCAGGGTTTGATACAGGTAATCTTGGCATTTGTGACGTGCGTGATGACCTGCAAAGGTTCACTGGTCTTTTCCAGCAGGTTCCACACCTCAATGCTGCCATCCTCTCTCCCAATGAAGAAAACAGCAGGCCGGGACAAGGACCAGCATCCCACAGTGCACTCCTGCTCACACCTTGGTGACAGCACAATGGGGCCATCCTGGATGTCGAAGTTTACAAGAAGTCAAACAGAGTCAGTAGCTTGTTACAAGGTAAATATGTATTTTCATTTTGGTGTGTACATCATAATGGATTATAGGACTGATTATGTTAAAAGTCTGGGATTTTGTGTTTATTCATTTTTTTTCCAACTTACTCTTACTAACAACATGGGTATAATTTTAACTGGTTGCAATGATTTCTGCCATTGCAATTAAATCCACAGGTATTCTTACCATGAATCCTTCCTTCCAGATGGCAAAGTCCCAGCTTCCCGTTGTCAAAATAATATCCTTGAAGAAGGGCGACCTCTGTACCGTATTCACCTGCCAGTGATGAATGCTAAAGCAGTGGAGGGGCTTGGCACCTGAGAGACAGAGGAGACAGGAAGAGAAGGTGTGCTGTTATATCCGACAGTAATTTGCTTCCACAGAAGGGCAATACAAGGAGCAATTAACCCTCTGTGTCCTCCATGTAAATTATGACTTATTTATAACAGTGGTTACATTCAGCACAGCTGCCAAACCAAAGAGTTGACTTACCGTGACAGCGGTTATTAAAATAAATTCCAATAATTAGTTTTTAATGATCAAATTTATTACTCTCAATGACTTCTATTTTTATTGGGGATAACAATCTGCTTTGAAGAATATCCAGCAGTTAATGAGCTTATGTTTCCTTAAACCATAGACTGTATAAAAGAAGTGGATTTGGCCTATGGGTCTGAAAAGTGAAGCCAATGTGGAAGTGCCTTAAACATGCATTCTTTCTAATGGCAAGCAGAGGGCGACTCCACTGATTACAAAAGAAGTACGAAAATGACCCTACTTACTTGATTTATTACCTCAGAAAACATTTTCCTGATGAGTTCATGGGCCCAATCGCTAGTTTCAAGTCTTTTTTAATACAGCATATTGTGTATTTTTTAAATTATGGTCACATTTAAAGTTAAATAGACAATAAAGGAGGGTATGCTTAAGGGCGTGACTATCTTACAATCGACAAGTCGCTACCGTGGCAACCTGTTAATGAGGATACAGGCATAGCAATGGGTATCCTCCTAAGCTGGAACCATTCATCTAAAGATGGTCACTTCCAGTTAAAAAAACAAAACAAGATGCCATCAGCCAAAATGCTAAACTCGAGACACCACAGTGGCTACATCCACTTCTTTTAAAACAGTCAATGCTTTAAACCCACTTTGATAACGCAAATCTGAATACTCACTATGCAGCCGTCCAGAGTCGTCCTTCACCAGTTTCCAGTCAGTGTAAACAATCTTCCCATCCTGGCAGTAAAAACATGCACATCATGAAACATGTTAAAGGGAACACAGAATAAACCTGCACGCATTTTACATACATTTTATTTTCAGCTCTGTTATTAAGTTGATTCAACAGGTCGGTGTTGAAGTAAAATACTGCTCATTGTTGTTGATTTTATTTGTTGGGATGTCTACCTGTGTTCCAATACAGAGTTTGGTATTGACGTCTTCCAGAGCTGTGAGTGTTGTAGCCGAAGGCACTCTGAGCCGGCTGTAGTCTGAGATGACCTCTGAGCTATCATTTTCATTAACCTCGTCTGTCAGGGGAAACAGCGAGGGAGAGTGTCGAAAGTAAGGTTAAAAGTTCAACGTATACTTTTTTTTTTTCATTCATGGACCTTTTTCTGCCAGTCAAGAGGTACCATGGTCCTTACAGACAGTACACTGTAGGAAACTCTTCAGAATACAAGTGCCTACGACATTTAAACAAAATCACAGAAAACTATTATTTTTTTTTTTTTTTTTTTTTTGCATTAGTTAAATGGATCATACCTGGCTAACATGCAGCTATTTTGGGTCTTTTTTTGCAAAGTTAAATTCCAAAACCAAACAAAAACACAACAAAGAGGGAAGAACAATAGGCAAAATTATAAAAACACCACTGACTTATAAGGAAAGAAAGACAAGAAACATTAAAAACATCTACAATTTAAGAGTGATTGAACAGTGGCATTGGTGCGGTCTGCTCTGTAACCTGACCATGAACAAGATGACAGAGGGACAAAAGAGACGAAGGTGGGGAGGGGTACAGCTGAGGTGAATGGGTTGGTAAGAGTCAATATGAGGGGAGTGGGAAAGAAAGGAGGTGGAGGTGAGAGTAAGGGTTGCGGCAAGAAGGGGGACAGTAAGGGAGAAGGGTGGGAGGGCTGTGATAGGCAGGGGTGGTAGTGATGGAGGAGGCCTTCTCTATCACAAAAGCCTGACTGTCTGTCAGGGACAGTACAGGACTATCTGTTCACACCCCCTTATCAGCAGACCGCTCCCAATCAAGTCTCAGCCTTACCCTGTTGGATTAGCCCTTGAAGGTCAGATCAGATTACCCAATCACACATCTTCTAAATCCACTTTCCCCCGGTTAGGATGTGTGTAAAGATACGAGACAGACGATACAGCACAGCAACAGATGTAGACATTGTTTCACTTTCACCACACTGCACTGCTGCTTAACTGTTGCTTAATCCCCATGAGGGGTTTGCTTGCGAAAACTTGGTGTGGAAAAACCATGGTGGTACTGTTGCAGGGCAGGGTGGAGCTTTCCTACAGTGGCCACCACTGTAAGTGCAAGCAACTCCAGCATCAAAGAGGGCAAAAGGCACAGAACAAAGTGCTGAATATGGAGTTCAGAGGCAGATGGTGTAGACTCAATCAATGTGAGTCAAACATCTTCAGTAGCAAAGTATTAATCACTCAGGGATTCATTAAAACTTTAATAACAGACCGCCTGAGGGCTGCAGCAGATTTATTGCCTCAGTTAGTGAACATATTAATTCTATAACCGCCAGCCACCAAAGCTGTGTTTATGGAAGCAGACCTTCAGCCAGACAAAGACAGGTCTCTTCTTGACCAGCCAGGACACACACGATCATCTTCTGGCCCTAAAGGAGCCTGAGCAGCATATTGCAAAGAGCTGACAGTCAGCGAGGCTAATGCTCTGCAACTATGAGGGCCTTGTTTTGGAAGTATCACTTAATAAAGTGCTATGAAACCGGAGAGAAGAGGGAGACAGACGGAGAACAAGAGAACCTGAGGGCTGAATGAACCCTGCCCCACTGATCACTGTGGTCAACCATCCAAAGCAGAATGAAAGAATCTAAGATCTCCCCCAAAAAAATCACACACAAGTGCACACACTTTTAAGAACTATCAGACATGGGGTATTTATGTTTGTTATTTCACACTTTGGTGTCCTCAGTTGTTTTTAACACATAAAGACCCTGTTTACAATGGTTTTAAAATGCATTTTGGTGATCTGAACACAAGTGGACAGCTGAGACACATTGCTGTTCACATATGGGTCTATCATAGCGTTCCAGCTGACCACTTGCGTTCAGATTTTGTGACTGCCTACATCACTTCTGCTAGTAGGTCAAAAGACCACGTTATTATGTCCACACTTTGGCCAGTAGGTACAGTTGGAGATATTGCTCTCAGCAGATTCCAGCACGTCTCCATCCATAGGGCATAACGATAGACAGTTATGCAATACTTCATCCAACTTGTTGAAAAAAGGGCAAGTTACAGAGCAGTTACTGTCGCCAAAACAACCACCATGTCCTGCATAGATGACATATTTTCCTGTTACGTCATTGTCAAGAAAGTATCATTAGCTTTTACACCTCAAAAGACACAGTATGTGGTCAAATGTGTCAGAGACTACCCTGACAAGTGGGTTGAGTGATCGAATCATAATGCATCTTGGTGGTCTTTTAAACTCATGTTTAGTACTGACCACTTGATCTGGTCGTCCACGAGGCATTTTGAAAACTAAGGGTGGACAGGGTCAAAAATACAGAATCTACAGATTTTGTGAATTGTTTACCTTCACAATAAGCTTTCCTCTCACCTGTTATGTTTTAAAGAGTAAAATGAAAAATCAGACAACTCGCGCAAAGCATGCAAAACCAGGTGCAGACACCCTGTGTGCCATCTTGAGGCAAGCAAAGTAATAGCTTCTTCTTTTGACACCTGTGCCACTGACCAAGAGTTTTATAACTGCAGCTTTTTATATATTTTATCACTGCTCTAAGGGCCGGATCTACTAAAGGTTTGCATGTATAAAAACGTGTGCAAAAAAATGTACAAACTGATTTACTAACAGTGCGCAGTGTATTTGTGTATTTTGATATTTGTGTTTAACACTTTGAACTTTTGAAGTGCTTTATCACATTCTTTATCCAGGTTTCTCTGTGTAAAATGACCAAACAATCTGTTGCTTTCTAACAGGGATTGAGTGTGTGTGACAGTTATAACCCACTTTTGTGAGGTGCTTTGCATCCAACTATAACCCCAGACAGTATTTACAGTACACATTATTGTAGCGAGGTAATGATAATTTGTGTGAATGATTTATAAGAAAAGGGAGAGGCAATGTAACAGACAGCAACAAATAGACAAAGCCAGCCTGAAGGGCTTACCTTTCCTTACCTGTGGTTCTGCCTGTGTTATTACCATTACCGGTGTAGTGTTCCAGGCTGAACTTTCGAGGAGCGTATTCTCCACTGCTATCGATCATTGGAAGGGAAACCTGACACACGACAGAGAAGAAGACAACTTTTGACATCTGAAGAACTGACAAAGCCTTATTTTAATCAAATTCAAGGACTATGTTCAAGAAACTACACACTAAAAAGCATAAATGAGCTTAAATGAGTTTAAATACATGGAAATATATACATAATTACACAGACACAATGCTATATTCACATTGTGGTTTAACTTGTGAGTACTTTGGGAAATTAGTCAAACTCAAAGCCTGTTCTCCTAAATCCTCCTAAATGGTTATATATGATGCAGGTGTGCTCATACAGTTACATGAATCCATTTTGTTAGAAGTTTAACCATCAAATTTAAATTTGCCATGACAATAGAAATCAACATTTATTAATATTATTACTATTTTTTACAGAGTTCTATTTGCAGGTGAAATAATTTCCTGCCAGTATTGGTGGACTCAATGCCGTCTACTGAACACAACAGCCATTTGGTTTACTGTACACTATCACAATGTGTATACAGCCTCATTTTTAGATTTGCAGAAGAAACTGCATAAGTACCCTGAACAGAGGTTTCCATGTCTGGTCCAGGTGTTTGAAAGTGTCAGGGACAATGTTAGGTTTCTTCTGATCCATACTCTGTTTCCTCTCTGATGCTGACTGGCTCAACAGTCTTGACATTCGCACATCCCAAAACATTATGTCGCTTTAGAGGGAGACACATGAAAAGTAAACATCAACCTGAAAAATGAACAAAAACTAAACATGCACACGGTGAATATTGGCTGACTGATTTAACATTTAAATCAAACATATCTCTGTATAAGACCTACCAGTCACGGGAGCATGTGACAATCTGGACAGAAATGTTATGCTTGTTCTCCACTGGTACGCCTGTCCTCGTCACCTAATCAGAGAGAGAGAGAGAGAGTCACAAAATCAACAAATGTCTGTCAAGCTCAGTTTTAAAGCCGATAGTAGTGGAAAAGGTTCCTGAAGATATATGGGAGGCTAATGTGCCCTCTGGGGCACTTTGATGATTGCCTTATTTTACTTATCCAGATGAGTGCCAGCGCCTGTCAAGATTTATGACAGTCAGCTATACAGACATGAGGGATAGGCACCAATAAGAAACCAAAATTATATTGTATTAATTGTTTCATGAAGAAGATTTTAGAAACACTGAGCAACTTACTTAAGTTCTGTGATAATGTAGTGCATCTGTATAAGACCTTAGTTCATTGATACTGTATTTTATGGCTGCCACCATTACATTTCACAGTTATCACTTGTGCTGGGTTACAGACCAAACACCAAAGTGTCACTGCAGCATATATATCATTTCATATAATATCATTTAAGGTCAGCACATTTTTAGAAGTACAAAAACATCTTGAGGCAATAATAAATATTCAATATTTTGTAGCAGTGGAGGTGTAAAGTTTGTTCTCTAAAACAATGTAATCCTTCCATACCTTCCTGTTAAATGTTGTAGTTTATATTATTGTATCTTTAATATGATGCATTACAACCCCTTATAACCTTTTTTTCTGCCCTGACTACTTCCCTATGCCCTCTGCTGCCTTACCTCCTGTTAGACTTGTTTACTCTCAAGTGGCTTTTAACCTTAGTCACACTAACTCGGTCAATGTTCCAAAATTAGATATAAAAATCATTAGAACAATAAGAGACCTGGCCCTATAAGAGTTTATTGTTTTATTATCAATTTCAGACTTAGCTGTGAAAGATTAAAATTCACTTTAGTTGCCTTTGGTATGTTGGAAACTATGCCAGTGTTTATTTTAGATATGATAAAAGAAGCTTGAGATCACGAAAACATTAAGAATGTTTTGCTGTGCAGTCACACAATGCACCTTTTATAATGCAAGATAGGCCAAATGAAGAAGTGATTAACCTTGCGGCGGGATCCGGGATCTACCCAATGCATGTGATCAGCCTATTAATGTCAGATCTGCAGTTGTTGCACCTTCAAACCCCTCTGCCCTTCAGTCCTGTGTACCTCAAATGTTGGTGGCAGCCACTGCACATCAGTAATTGGTGCTTTGTTGCTGCTCTGTACTGCAGACACGGCACAGTAACGCACGACAGGAATCTTATTCTCTTTGTTTCCATCAAGCTCCTGGTGGGAGGTCAGACACAAAAGGCACAGCATGTACAGTGAGCTCTGACAATTTCTGAAATAATACAAAGACTTAACATGGTGGTGAAGAGCCATCCTAAAATGGTCCGCATAACAACTTATGTATACTGCAACTCAAAATTCCAAAGATTGTGCCTTAATCTTAAAACACGCACAGAATCTGCAACAAAGGATTATTTTCAGTAACACTGTGCACCTGCATTTGGCTTTGCTGCAGAACAGAGATCTATACAGGAGGATTTTAATTCTTCGTTTATCTGATAAGCTAGCAACAGGTGGTGGCGTAGCGCAGCTTTCACAGCACTCAACATCGAAATAAAGCCTTTTAGCAGATACAACAGCCATTGTTGACACTGCAAACACAAGGGAGGGCAGTGATCTGATTTGCTTGTTATCTGCTATGGGGACAAACTACGGTGGAGGATGGAGGGCTTGTGTAACAGCTGGAGTATGCGAGCTGATGCTGTTGACTCTGGGGAATGAAGAGCAAACAAGGACAAAGAGAATAGACGGAGGTACGGAGGGTGGGGGGAAGCAAAAGAGAAGGAAGGAGTGAGGATGGGGATGGAGGCAGCTGTTCCACTGTAGAGGCAATAAAAGCACACAAAGCAAATGGGGACTGGATGATGGGGGCATATATGTCTATTGAAATACAGCAGCCAAGGGGAAGATGTCAGTGGAGGTCAAGCTTTAAAGGACAGAACTGGTTTAATATTTGTTGTCTGGATGTCTCGACAGGGTGTGGGGAAGTTAATGTACTTGCCATGTTGTGGGTTTAAATATGAGCCCTGGTTTTTATCACGCATCATTAACTCTCTTGTCCCCCATCTTTTCTTTATTTCTCTACATAATACATCTAAACAGAGTGGATATGCTATGAAAATATTACTGCACTATGATGTTAAGCTGAGAGAGAATCCCTTTTTGATGTTTCAGTCTTCCATCTGTTTTTTTTATTCAGTTAGATCACTTAAATCTGACTGGGCTGTTTGTATGGCGCCTAATAGGCCGTTTTCCTTTAGCAGTAGGGTCTTGTAATGATATAAACTTGCACTGAGATGTACTCCTGGCATTAGTACATTTGTGGAACTAGTTTTGACAGCTGTGGCTGGCTTGAAAAGGACCATCAGGCCACTGCATTCCCATCTAATGAAAGAGTGAGCATGAAAGGAGAACTCAGGAGTCAACATATCATCATCTCACTCTGTCATACAGCACAGCCTGTCTTTACGGCAAATATGCTACATGCTTTGATAAACTGAGGACTCATACTTGAATAAACTGAGCTGACATCATCACGGGCCAAAGGATAGCAGTAACTGATACCACATGTAATACACCAGCACAGACACAGAACACCAGGTATTATTGTATCAACATTGTGCACATTAGAGAAAGGATATGGGTACTTACGAACATGTCAGTGTTGACAGAAACCTTTTTAGCAGGCTGTGTTCCCTGTAAGTGTGAGACGTGAGCTGAAATGTCCCACAACACAACCTGAGACAACAGGTACACAAACTCAGTTACTGACCAACATCTGAGCCGGGTGCAAAATACACATCCGAGTGTAAAAAAAAATCCCCTCTTGAATAAACATGATCAAATGTCTACTAAAAGAGAGTGGGAACAGAAACAGTTCATTGGAACTGTACAGAATATGATTACAGAAGGTCTACTTAACATTGTGTCCTTATAATGAAATTAGGGGCATGGGGAAGTAGTAAATTACAATAACTACTATAAGGCAGAAAAGGCAGCAGAGGCAGCAAACCGGAGGTGCAGAGCAGAGTCAAAGTCAGCACCTGGCCATTCACGCAGCCGCCAACGATAATATTAGGATCAGAGGGGCAGAACTCAAAGGCAAAAATGTCACCTGGGCACTCAAGCAGCAGCTGCAAATGACACAGAAACACATATACACAGGACAGAAATATTATATTTCAAAGGTGACATTTCCATGTATTGGTGCTTGCCATCCCACAAATTTATTTATTCTAGTCCCTCTATACAAAGTTTAGGTCACGGTTGATTCCATTTCATCAGGCATAAGGGGAAAAAGACCCAAGAGGATGATATTACAGAGAGGTCATTTTTCAGCATCATGTTTAAATTTGAGTTTAAAAATAGCTGCAACACTGAACTACAGAACTTTACTCACCACACTAAATAAATACATTTATTTCAGTCATATAATGTCTCTGGTTTCCTCCACACATCACGTTCTGCTGCTTTGATCACTGCTCTGGTAGACAGTGAAACCAAAGCATGACGCATGCACCAGTAACAGCATACGTCATGCAGAACTCATATTACTTTTGAGTGATTTAGCAGCTCACGTTTATTGATTGAGTGCCTGGGTCAAATCAATAGAGCTTCTCAAATTCTGCTAAAGCAAATAGCCATTTGTTATCAGTGTCTTAGATAGATACAAAGAGAGAAATATACTCTTTTAAATCTTTTTTTTTCCAGCTGTGTACTCTCCACATTTACTCAGAGGGTCTCTTTCATACACTTTCCATACCTGGGGATTGGAGGGGTCGGAGAAGCTATAGAAGAGAATGACAGAGTTTTGGACAGCAGACGTACTGGACTCGTTCAGCAGCTTCTCCTCTTTTTTTGTCAAAGCCACAGCTATTAGACCTACCACAACAAAAAAAAAAAAACATACCATACAATGTATCAACCACACAGCAGCAGGAAAATACATATAAATATGTTTAAAAATTCTTTTAAATGATTTAAATTCAGAAATGGGGGCTCTGCTCTAACCTCCTCTTTGAATAACATTTATTTGCACTGATCATATTTTGACACTGATGTTATTATTCCTGATCTTGGTCGCCTACTCTATGGGTGCTATGGGTGATGACAGTGAAAGGAGCAGAGAAGACCACTGGGTGAAGACTTTAAAATCTGATTGTCAGTGATAATTCGATTACAGGGAGAATGACTGTCATTTATTTTTGTTATATTTATTGTCGTCATCATCAGTCAACACAATCCTTGTCAACACTTGACAACCAAATGCTATTTGGTGCTAAATTCTAGACATTTAAACCATAATCTGCACTCATCTGAATCCAAATTATGTATTTTTTTCAATTTAAGGAAAATTATGGATATGGATGATAACATTTTTTGGTCAATATTTTTGTGTCTTCTGGACAAATCTTCTCCCTCACTGAGATTTTGCACTTTACCGTAGATAGCAGGGTGCCAATTGACGCTGCTGATTTTCTTGTCCTTAGTGTACTTCTGGTCTGTGAAGGCCTGATAAAGCATCAAATTTTCAGAAACCTTCCCAGACCAGTCACTGTCTTCCGCTGCTGTCCCTAGAGCCTTCCAGTCATCAAAGAATACATTCATGATTTCTTCCTGCTGAAGGGCTCGCAGAACCCTGCAAAAAACAGTAGGCAAAACTTGTGCATGATTTTTCAATTTCTTCCATCAAATATCTTCATAGTCATAGTACAACATTTCCCTCCAACTGTTATCTCTTACCTGGGCATAAAGGAAGGTCTAAGATCACAGTGTATCACTGAAACTTTTGTTTAAAAGACAAAGTCTGAGCTGAGAAGGCAACTATAACAACACAAAATATAACACACCGTGAAAATGAAGGTGTCCTCAAAGTATTCCTTCTGAATATTCTAATGCTCCTGCAGTGGTAATAATGGATGGGTTTGAGTACCCTGAGGCTTAGACAGTAATATATGAGTCTGGGTTAACTACCCATATGCCTTTACAATATATACTTCCCTAGACAGCATACAGAAGACCCCATGAATTTCTAGAATATTTCGTTTTACCTGGGGGTCACTAAGTTGCAAAAATTCTTCAGACTCTCAGACTGGAGGGTGTTCTCTTTTTCTTCATCACTTAACTCTCTTGGCATGTACTGGGTACAGATATTCCTCTGAAACTTCCTGTAACGTGGACAGAGAATAATTATACAATACATTTGTTGAGATGGAGTTCCCATTAAGGTAATAAAGAAAGAAAAAATGGTATATAATGAATGCTAATTCATTAATATGTTGGCTATATATTAGGGCATATAGGCATGCATTGCAGGAAAATACTTGTCTCACTAAAAGATGTAATATAGCATACAGTGTTAAAATCTTATTTTCCTAATGCAGTGAGGTGTTGGCAGAGCCTGTAAGTGCTTCCCCCCTGTGTAGAACAAATCAATTTCATGTGTAATGATTTGCTGGCATACCACTGTGTCTGAGCACTGCTGCTCTGCAGTCTGGGAACAGCCTGCATCCCGCAGTCCCTCTGCATCTGTTTGATGCTGAATCTGCTGTCTTGGTAGGAAGCACACTCTAGGTAGCCATCCTTAGCATCTGCAGTGTTGCGGTCGGAAAAACATACTGGTGCCCCAAACTTTCTCCGCACTCTGGAGAACTTGTACCACAGCTGATAACATACAGGAGACAGAATAGAGAAGTGTAATGACAGGGTGCATGATAAAAAAAAATAATTTGTTTTAACATGCATACTTCATGCATTCTTTGAATATATTGCAGTACCTTTTCTCTGGACTCTTTGAAAGATTCTTCATCTATTTCTCGCTCACTTCCAAGAGATATCCATTGCTTTGGTTCAGAAGTTTTAATGGATTCATTCTCAAATATTTCTGGTGTCTCAAGCTCTGGGGGCTGCAGATCACATGGAGGATTACAAAAATATCCAATATAATAAACAGGAAAAACATCAAGTGGAGGATGAATTAGTAAGATTGTTTTTGATAGTTAAATGTGAAATCTTCCCAGGCAGTCACACTTGTCTGAAAATGTTTGAGCTAGAGCAAGATAGTAGATAGAGCAACGTAGTTTTGGGAGTTTTTTTTTATTCTTATCAGCCATTGAAAATATGCCAGCTGGCAAAGCAAGCCGGGCCTCTGATACCAGCCATTAGTGTTAAGTGATAAAATAGTGTACATGCCTCCAATATAAAAGGAAAGTAAATAACAGGGAACATTCCTGCCTAGAATAAAAACACTGGTGCTAATATTCATGCTAAATAACTAAGACATTTATTCTCATAACTAGTCATATTGACATATTTTAGTTGTCAATGTGACCGTGTACTTTACAAACACCAAGCAGTGGACAGTGTAAAAGTAAAAACAAAAGAAAAAAGGGACTATTATTACAAAAACTGAAACTACTGTTTGCTTACGCTGAGGATTCTGTCCTTAGCTTCTGGTGTCAAGACCAGGTAGAAGCACTGGTCATAGGTGAAGTCCCTGTCAAAGACCAGCAAGATCTCATTTTCTGGGTAGTTCTGTAAGATGAAATCATTTAGAATTCATAACATTGATCTATTTTAATGAAAGGTTTCTTAAGAAATAATTAAGGTTGTGTATTATATAATTATAAATATATAAATAGTTATAACTGTGTATGAATTAATTCTGAAAACCACAAGGAAACTGTACAGCAGTAATTTGGTCGACGCAGAGCGAGATGTGAATTTCAGACATGGAGACTGATGTTGTGGAGGTTAAAAACACAAAAAAAGACAGAGAACCACACACACATCATCAGAGCCAAGGTCAGGCCTTGGCTGGGTCCTAAATGAGGAAGTTGACATTACTTAGGACTTAGAACAGATGCGTCTGTATGGGTCTCTTAAGGCGCTCTCTCGTCTCATTAGAGTAATGTGTTGTGGTAAAAGGGGCATGAATGCTTAAAGTAAGAGTGGTTGTTACCGTGTATTTAATCTTGATCAGAGACAGAGGGGAAATGAGGTTAAACTGGTTACTCTGTCTGTTCCCACAGCCCTTAACTTGGGGTCTGTGTATCATCACAGTGTCTTGGGGGTATTGTCTGAGTGATCTGTATGACAATAGATCAGCCTCACCAGCACAATCTGCTTCACGGGGCTGAAATCGGACACTGCGGCTCTTGTCTTAATGTCCTGTATGATGTCGTCTTTTTTTAGCAGCTTGTAAGGGCTCTCCCCTGTGACGTCCTCATCGGCACGGCAACCAAAGAGCTCCTGGGTGACTGATGTCAGGACCAGGGGGAAGATATCGTCAGGATGACCTTGGTGAGAGAGTTCACAATCAAGACAGACAAGGGATAGATAAAAGACTATGGAAATTATGTATTAAAATGATCTTCCCTAAACATCCCAACTTTGTGGTCACTCAGTCAGAACATCAGATGGGGGATTTTGGGATTGGGATTCTATTCATGTTTGAGTAAAGCAGTCAATAATAGTGTCATCTGTCTGACAGTTGAGTCACTTTTCAAGACGCCTTTTCTAAATATAATTACACAAGTTAAATATGGGCAAGACAATGCTCACCTAAAAACAGATTGTAGTGGAATAATCTGAAAACAAAAAGCCCCATAACTTAAACAAACAACCAATTAAGGAAACTCTAGTGGTTTACCCAGAAACACAGTGTGTATTTATATTCCCTCCCTCCACTCCTGCCGACTATATACAGTATAGGGCTGTAATGATCGAAAGAAAATTAATCGCCAACTATTTCAATAACTATTTTCTCATTTCAGTCATTTTTTGGCAAAAAAAAGTCAAACATTTGCTGGTTCCAGTTTCTTAAATGTGAGAGTTTGCTGCTTTTCTTTGTCATTTATGTTAACAAATGAAGAGAGAAGCTATAGAAGAGGTTTTGGAGTGTTGGTTGGACAAAACAAGCAAATTAAAGATGTCACTTTGGGCTCTATGAAATTGTGATGAGCATTTTTCACATTTTTTGACATTTTATAGACGACAACTTGATTAACTGTGAGAGTAATCAAGATTAATCCATAATGAAAATTAACCATTAGTTGCAGCCCTAATATAATATATAGAGTATAAGAGTATACAAAAGCTGAACTTTAGGATCAATGTGAAATCATAATTCAAGGTGCTTTTGTCAAATGCCAGAAGATATGATGCTGTATGGTGCTGAAAATGACAATAATGACCTGGGAATTACATTGTCATATCTATGTGTTTTGTCTGTTCTGCAGACTGTACAAAACAAATTGCTGTATTCATGCACCTAAAAGATATTTTCCTGACATCAGACAAATATCACTTAAATGGAATCCTTACAGCTGATGGTGGCAGAGTAAAGCAATTATAAGCAAAAATATGTACAGTTTAATTTTGATTATGTCCTGCATAGAAAACCTGCATTTTTTTTCTTTGACAGTTTTACATGACTGAAGGAAAACCAAGAGGTTTAAAAACACCAACATGCAATGCTAATTGTTGGTTTGCAGATCCCGTAATAAAAAGTAAAGGGATCAATATGTATGCTTGTGGGTGTGTGTGTTTGTTCTTCTCTCCTTTTAACATTTGTATTTGTATTTTTGTATTTTTTAAATTTTTAACATTTGTATTTATTTTGTTTAATATGCACTGTCGCTCTTCACAGATGAAGTTCCTAACGGAAAAATAAAGTTCTCTGAATTGAATTGAATTGAATAAGAGTTACATACATTGCTGGTTGTTGAAAAAGACGAAACAGTGCTGTAAACAGAGATACAAGCATGGTGAGTATGAGAATGTAAAGATGCCATAACTAAGAGCTGAAACCCTACATATCAAGCAATATTCACACAATGGACAGGCTCAAAAGTCACCATTGCCTACGGACTGTGACCCAGATTCTTGCCACTACTTTTCTGATCAAATGCACAACAACGCCTCTGATCCTTCACCTGCCCCTCCCTGCAGGGTGGACCACCCTACAATATCACAGGATGACATGCAATCCTTCTGAACAGCCTACACGCAATGTCCAAACACTTGTAGAAGGAATGCTGCTGGAGAGGCAGATCAATAATGCATAAATTCAAGACATAAATTGCTCTGTTAAAGACATCTAACCAGGATTGTTACTTTACAAAGCTGCACCATCACCACAAAAAAGTTTTTCCTAATAAACAATCTACACAGACTCCTCCATATCTAAGACCAGGCTCAGTCCAGGGCATTCTACAGTAAACAGAGCTCTGCATAATGATAGTTTTCATCCTGCTTGCGGTCTCTCTCTTCAAAGTCTTTCCACAAGGTTGCTGAGGGGACGCTGGGAATGCTAAAGTACAGCTTAAGTAACCACTTCCCAGCTGGGTGTGTCAACCTTTTCCACTCACACCATTTAGGCCTCATGCCAAATCATTGTAGTGGAAACTCACACCCCTCATTTCACACAGTTATGTGTCAACTATGGCATTTGTATTCATGGGAAATATTTGCTTGAGAGACAAAGTGAGCGTGATGTGCAATGTTCCATAACCCTAAAGAATGTAATTAAAGTGCATTTGAAGGCTGCGCTGGAGAGATATTGTAAGTTTGGCGGGCCTCTTTCCTCTTGCATAATCCACTCAAGGCTAGCACTTTTTGACTGCATACTGTACGATATTTATGTTACAAGAGTACACTGTAATTATGGATGTTTGGTTTTATGTCTGTTTATACTACGGAAGAATTTAAGCCTGAACAATAAGCGTTTATCACCTGATAAGACTACCTGTCACTTACATTATAAATGTCCTTGAGAAACCTGTTCATGGGTGAAGAAAACCTACATTTACATTTGTGTCAGTGGGCCACAAAAAGTTGGTCCCCACAAGATGAACTATTAAATGTTAGGGTTTAGACTTGTTTTGAGGTTAGGTTTTAGGTCAATGTAAACTGTTTAGGGTGTTTTCATTCAGGAGATCTGACATACTTGACCTTATACTGGTGGGTGTATAAGCTGGAATGGTTGAAATTAATGAATAAATGTAAAAAACAGAGCCAATCTGGATCCGTGGACTCTTAAAATCACTACTTTTAACTCCGCCAAGAGCTAATGATGTAATCTGTGGTGAAATGATACATTTGGTGACCTGCATTTGACCAAAAGCATGTCTTCAGGGCTGCTACGTTGAAAGTGAACTAGACCATGACAATGGCACCCACAGCTGAGTAGAAAGCATGTCCAAAGGCTATGCAACAGTACACTCATGATCACATCAGAGGAAAGCATATAGTTTCTCCAACTCCTCAAAGACATCTCTGATTATTAGTTTCAGCCATGCCTGTTACATTGCTACTTCAAAGTCAGGCAGATTCAGACGCCCTACATCATCAAAGATGAATATGAATAAATTGTATTTACTAGCGGTCATTAAAATGACCCTATACTATCAAATGAATGAAGGTAATTATATAGAAATTGCCAATATGGGGTTGTAGATGTCTTCAGTCCTGGACTCTTATCCAACAAAATTTGTGGCAGACTGGCCCATGCAAAACCAAGTTATAACACCTTCCTCTGTCATGTCAAAACACCAAAATTCAAAACGCTGCCATGGAAATACAGAAGAAAACTCACAATCTTCACAATAAAGCATCATCTAGATCTTAAGGCTTTTCTGCCCAAATTTGTGGTGGATCTGAGCAACTTTGTAAGAGCAATACGTCAAAGTATAAAACATGTCATTTCCTGTTGCCAGCAGGTCGCCCACTGACTATAGCTCAACATTGCCATGTAGACGTCTTCAGGCTGGGACTCCAATCAATCGTGTAAAGTCTGGGGCAGACTTGACTGTGTACAGTGGAATAACGAACCACTTCCTGTTCTGTGGTGAAACATGGAAATTTGACATCTCAGTAGGGCCTGCTCAATGAAATCTCAAAAGCTTTGCAATTTAGCATTGCAAAGGTCTTTAGATTGTACTGCCCAAATTGATCCAGCAAAATCTCTAAGAGGAATTTGTGAAAGAACAATGCCTAGAAATGGCAAAAAAAGCCCTAAAAATTAAAAGTTTATTCAAAATGGCCGACTTTCTGTTGAGTTTTGGCTATGGCTCCAGAGATGTTTTTGTATGTTTTGGAATGTTACCTGTGCCTTCCAATTTTCATACCTCTAGCTGAAATGTACGGCAGGGACAACTTCACTGAATTTTTTTTAGGGGGCGCTATTGAGCAATTTTATTACACCTGCAAACAAAACCTGTACATTTCAATTTTTTCACCAATTCTGATGTGCGTGCAAAGTTTAATAAGTTTTCGAGCACCAAGCACATCTTTTACTTCTTTTTACAAGTTCATATGAACGTGAATGTGCTAGTTTTAAGTAAATACTAAAGTAATGAAATGTATTTATTATTGTCTTACCAGCATTACAGTTCAGCATGAATTAATACGTGAAAAAGTGAATAATTTTCTCTTACCAGGTTTTCCCACATCTGCAGGTGACTGAATTGTTTTGCCTAAACAGGAAGTAACAGTCAGTTCACCATTTTATGTACTGTCTCTCCACCTCCTAAGACAAAAAATGCATGTATTTAAATACATTAACACTATACTTGTATTCAGACACTCACCTTTACCTCCTCTCTTGCTGCCTGCACTGCTTGTTACACTTTTTCGTCTCTTGGGTGGCATCCTTGCTTCCAGGTTAGCCTTCCTAATGAAAGGGAGAAAGTTTTCATATAACATGCTGTTACATTTTTCCTTGCAAGACACCAAACTATTTTTGATTTATACACATTGCTATTTCACTGACCAACCATCAGAAAGTGCACATTTCAAGCCACACTCAGAATACACACAGTTGCAAACCAGTGTCTTGCGGCAGTGTCCAAAAAATCATTATCAATGCATGTGGCGACATCTTGTGGAGTATAAGAGTATTGCACTGTCATTTTTACTTTGCCCTGTGTAGTTAAAAAGTTAGGTCAAGTTAAGAAGCAACCTAGTGTATAAAAAGCCTATCTAAATTTACTTTAGCTGTGACATTTTTGACATACATTTTTATGGTGTACTTCAGTTGATACCTGCTCAGGTTATACCTAATGATACACAGTGGGGAAGGAAGTATTCAGGCTTCAGATAAAAGTAGCAATTTCACAATGAAGTCTAGCAATGAAAATGTAATTTAAAATACAACTGCATAAAGAACATGACTTATTATCAGCAGCAAAATGAATGTCAATTTTTTTTTAATCTTGTGATTATACAATTGTATTCCAGTTATGCTTGTTTTCTATTTTGTGTTTTAGTTTTAATCTCCTATAAATGTGTTTTATAAATTGCCTTGTGCCTCTTTTATATATCTTATCATATGATTTGCTAAGGCCTTTAAATATCTTATGTTAAGCACTTTGAACCTTGTTCAAAGTTGCCATATGAACTTTCCTTGCCTAAAGTATCAAAGTAACATCATGCAGAATGATCCCACTCAGATTATTATGTTTCATTAGTTATTATTACTGATGAATTAACTTGTGAGCAGCAATGTTGTAAGGTGGGACTACTTTTCACTACTTTATATATTTGGTGAATTCATCTATAAATGCCTTTTAACGTTACAGTATTTTAATGTAACTAACGTTAGGCTAATGGTTAATATAACATAATATACAATACCTTACAGCTAGCATTTATATTAGCTGTTTGTTTGCTATGCTAATTTAGCAAGCTAACTGTCTTAGCATGAGTAACAGTGATGAAATCAACATTGTGGTTAAAGAACTTTAAAGTTTGTTCATTGTCTCTGCTTCAACGTTAACGACAGCATAAATGCCACTAGAGCTGCAGCTACCAAACGTAACAGCGACAGTTTAGAGACAAGTATTTATTTTACCGGTAGTTAAATCATGGTAGTTAGCTTGTTATCCTCTCCACGCTTGTTTCTTCCTAGCTCATCTGCGGGACTGTTTGGTTGCCATGGGTTACAGGATTGAAAGAAACTCGACATGACTGACAGATCCAAGAGCCAATCAGATTCCAGCAGTAAAGTGACGCTACATTGTCGATACCTGAGCTTTCATACACAGTTTGAGGAGTTTGCTCATGTGACAACACACAAACTTCGGAGGTTTAATTCAGTTTAATAACTTCAGTCAGGTCTCTCACAGCAGAAGAACAATTAGACTACGTTAAGAATTCTAATTAGACCAAGACATTTTGGCAACAACAAGGCGCGCGCCGCAGACCACAGGTGTATGCAACAAGTTGATTAATCCGAGGCAGGTAAGTAGATCCGGCTATTGGCTGATTTTGTGTCGCATTTCATTCATGTCCAGTGTTGGTCGCGTTCGACAGGTTATGATTTCATTTCTTACACGACATGTAATGATTATAAGCGTTTGTGGCAATGGTGGAAGATGACCAGGTTTCAGAGCGTGAGCTGCTGTACATTATTCAGCAATGCTCAGGTACACCTGACTTCATTTACTTCCTCCTCACACAGACTTGCTGATTAGTCATTAATTTGTAATGTAGGAAAAAACAATGGAAGTAGAAGACGCCTAGTAGAACTTCATATTGATCCTATGTCAAGAAGCATTTATTAGTTTAGGTTTTCTTAAAAGAAAATAAAACAAGGAAGTATAATTTATACATTTCTCAGCAGTGGCCTAGTTAAAGGTTTATCAGACACACTTTTAACAGTCACAAACACTGAAGTGTGTAATGTTGAGTCAGAGTATTGAATTCCATATTAGTAGGAAGTCAATACAATTTGTTCCCTTTCAATATGTAAATAAGCTGAACCTTTCAATATAAGGAAATCCAATTCTTCAACCACTAGACCCACAAGTTCTCAAACATCAAAGATGCATTTAAGGTTTGGTTGAGCTTCCAGTCACCCCAGAGGACATTCAAAGCCAAGTTATATGTTTGAACTCAGTACTGATGAGAAGCCCTTTTTATGGGAAACACTTAAATATTATTATATATATTGAATATTTTTTATATATAATATTTTATGTATGTGTGGTCAAATCTGTGATCATTTTAATCCCAACTAACTGGACATGGAAACTTAAAAAAGGTGGATATAGACAACAGGTCTGTGCACCTAGTCCAAGGTGCCAGAAATTGCCATCCAAAATAAAGATAAATAAAATAATTTATAATTTTATTTTACAGAGTAGCAGTCTTACTGCCTTCCCTCATTCAATCTGTTCTTTTTGGGAAGATAAATATAACATTTTAATACCTTGGAGACAATTAGAACAATTAAAACAACAATCAATTCTTACCCCAGAATTTTTCAACTGAAAACTTTCTATAAAATAATTGCTACTAAAAACAACTTCATATGTTTAATATTGAAAAATCATCACTGTGTAGAGTCTGCAGTGAGGAAGAGGAAGACCAGCTGCATTTGTTTTTCTGCTGCCCTGATGTTGCAGGTGTTTGGACTGATGTCCAAGGCTGGTTGGGGCCTCTCAACATTTCTTTTGAACTAGCGCCTTTAAATATTTAATGCGAGGTTCTCGGTGAAAATTGTCACCAGATGATAAATACAATTATTCTGTTGTGTAAAATATTTTGTTTTTAAATAAATTAAATTTAAGTTTCCTGAAAAATCCTGTGCAGTGTCAGGTTCTTATGTCTCTGGAATTTTTTTTTTTTTTTTTGCTACAAACCATTGTAAAGTACCACAACATAAAAGAAAATTGGATAAAATTTGCTCTTGTGAAAAGTGGAACTATATAGAATTATAATTAGACTCTACCTTTCATATCAACTTTATTTATTAATTGAATAATTAAGATAAAATAATCTAAAAAATTTTTTTGAATTGAACCACAACACAGTGTAAAACAAAAAAGAACACTATAAGCTCTAGACAGAACGGATTTATTGCATGTCTATTGTATTTGATTGCTTAACATTTACAGCCGCACATATAAAGTAAAAGCCACCATGATCATGGCAGTTGGTCATGACTTTTTTTTTTTTTGCTTTACTGGTGCCACCAAAGCTGCACTTTGTTTTTAGAGTCCAAACATGTAAAAGTAAAAAAAAAATGTAATCAATAATTAAGCTTTTTTTTCACATTTCAGTGATCTCAGTAATATTACAATGCTAACTTTGATTGTACTAATGTCACCTGTATCTATTAATAGTAGATATGGAGGAGTCCAGTGACTTGTATGATGTCTACGAGACAAATGGCTCCCCTCCCTGGGCTGACGACCAGCATCAGTGTCTGGAGGAGCTGGACACTGTGGAGTGTCTCAGAAGGAAGATCAAATATTTCTTCATGAACCCCTGTGAGAAGTACCACGCTCGCGGCCGAAAACCATGGAAACTCATCCTGCAGATCATCAAGATCGCCATCATTACCATCCAGGTAGTTATTTCAGATATGACTTGAGCAGATGTTAATTGTGTTGTTTCGCTACCCTGACAACAAATACCTTTCCCCCTGTCACAGTTAGTGTCTTTTGGGCTGAGCAACCAGATGGTTGTCACATTCAAGGAGGAAAACCTGATGACATTCAAGCACCTCTTCTTGAAAGATTATGTTGATGGAGGCATGGGTACATACGCTGTTTACAGGCAGGCTGATGTTTATGATCACATCGATTACATCATTGAACAGGTAACTCAGTGCTAATATTTTCTTTTTATTTCGTCTTTGCAAGGAGCCCCAAGAAGGCATGAGTTTTATGTGCTAGTGTCTTGGTTTATTTTGATCATGTGAGACAAAACATTTTTCCTTTTCCTGTAAATCATTTTTGGAATTTTATAGCTGTGCATGCTTGTATGACAGAGGAGTTCAACAAGCTCCCATGACAAGATGTAGCTCGTCATGGGGTTGGACTTTGTCCATGTTGTTTGAATCTGTCGTTTTGTTTTGTTGATTAGACTGCATAAACTGTAACACTAAACTGCTGCAGCTGTTCATTTCAGAGAGTTCCTTTTACCTGACGTTATTATAACTGAGGTTTCCATTGTTCATCTCTAGTATGGACATCTGCACAACATCACAGTAGGAAATCATGAATATGAGAAAACTGGCACCTTCTACACCCCCCTAACAGTGTGTCAGGAGTTCTACAGAAACGGCACTATCTACCCTGGAAATGAGACCTTTGAAATTGATGCTGAAGTGGAAACTGGTACGCATGATTGTTTGAGTTAATGTGTGGAAAAACTGAATATTTGGGTTCAGTGAGTTTATTTGTTCCTTGTTTTTCTTCTCCCTGTTGCTTGTATCTAACAGAGTGCCGTAAAGTTTATCCAATGTATCATCCATCATTGCAGAGAGCATTTCCAGATTTTGAACTGCATTTCAAAAGGTTTGCACGTACCCTTTTAATTGAAGCCTTTTTTAAAGGCAACACAGTTTTCCTCTCTTGGTTTTATATATGATGTGAAAACCCCACGGGTAATGTATCTGCTCTGTCTTGCAGGATGGTCTCTGTCAAGATCACGTTTGTTCTGAAGGCCATAAATTTACAGACAGTGAGACATCGAGAGCTGCCAGACTGCTACGACTTTACTGTTATTGTAAGTCACTTGACTTGTCTTCATGGCTCAGTAAACACCAGTGATTCCAATCAGACTCTGTCCTTTAAAAGCAGTGATAGGACACATCTGATCACCTGATTGCTGCCATAACCGTGATAATGATTCCCCTTGTGACCCTGCACCTGTTTCCTCGGCACAGATAGGAGTGAAAATGAAAGGAGTCAGTGTGAATCTTGTGTTTGTTTAACTACTGAAGACACAAATCTGAGCAGTAAGGATGTTTGCATACAGTGCCTGGTATTTACAAAGTTAAATGTTATCTTCAGGGCTTGGCAAGTGAATATTTAGCTTTTGGCTTCAGCTGTTTCAAAAAGTGCCTTTCCTCCGTTAAACACGACTCTCTGGTTAACAGATCATTTTCAACAACCAAGCTCACAGCGGCAGGATAAAGGTTGACCTGGAAAATGATGTAGACATCAATGAGTGCAGAGACTGGAAAGTAACTGGAGCATGTAAGTTTGCCTAGCTGAATTTACAAATGAATCATCTGCATTGCTTTAAGGTCGTGTCCAGGATTCTTGGGATTAATTAAGGCTGCTCTCTAAGCTTGGGACTTTGCTGCTCATAAAATCTGTTTGAAGATGTTTGCCCTTTTAAAGGTGAGAGTAATTTTAATTTCTCTGTTCCCTCAGCTGCCAGAAACATATACCTGACTGTGCTGTTCGACTGCCTCATCATTATAACGTGCATCATTTCGTTCACCCTCTGCACACGCTCGGTGATCAATGGGATTCAGCTGCAGTCTGTAAGTTAACTGAAATGCAGGTATATTTGTGATATAGCATGGATGTCTTGGGGCGCCTAGTAGCTTACCTGGTAGAATGTGTGCCCCTTGTGCTATGTTCTTGTTGCAGTGGCCATGGGTTTGATTCCAGCCTACAGCCCTTCGCTGCATGTCATCTCCTCCTCTCTCCCCCTTTCACTCTGAAGCTGTCCTTTTCAGTAAATGCAAAAAGCCAGAAAAATAAATCCTAAAAAAGATATGGATGTCTTTAGTATACCTGTTCTTTATGGATAAGTCGCGTTCTACAAAAAACATCCTTTAAAACATCCTTAAAATTCTAACGCACTAATTCCCTTTATTTCCCTTTTCTGTGTATGAAATAAACATGATTTATAAAATATTCTTTGTATAATATTCTGCTTTCTTTTTTTAACCTCTAAACCTGCACTGTGCCAGAAAACACCCTTGTCCCAGAGAAGAATTCAAAAATTCAGACAATTAAAGATGTGTTAAAAGTAACAAAATAACAGTATACACTGATAACATCAGTGTAAAAATGTACTGCCATAATCATCGTCATTTTAAAAGGTATATATATTTTTAGTGAAAATATTGGCCCTTTTAAAGATGTGTCCCAGTTTTTTGTCATCTCCG